CTTTAATTCATTGATTGCATCACGCACATTTACAAAAAACCTCATTAAAATAGAACAATGGACTAGTATATAGACCTAAAACTATCCATTGCCATCAAATTTATAGGATCATACTTAGCTGGTGACAGTGTTTGTAATATTGTATTTGGAATATCTTTAAAGTAATTATTAAATGTATACGCACTAATACTTGAACTAGGTTCAACTTTTGGCTGTTTATTGTTATTATTTATGAGATCCCAAATTGCTTTTGGGTAAGTAAGATTTTTAAATCAGCAGTTTCATAAGGTTTAAATGAGTCATATATTAGCATCAGGGTTTCCCTCATACTTAAGGTGACCAAACGTCCTGGTTTACCCAGAACAGGTTCTGGTTTTTGCTAATGTGTCCTGGTTTAATTGTGCACTGGTTTTGTCCTGGTTTTGAAGATTTGGACCTGGTTTGAACTTTTTTTATATTATTGACGTTATTAGCAAATTTTTAATATAGGGGATCGAATTCACTATACACATGCGAACCAGATTCAAATGTCACAAAAGTTTTGAATAGGCATACGCTATGCACGAGTGTTTTACCACGATTTTTTTTTTCGAAATTATTGTGTTTTTAAAGTATAAGTCACGCACGATGGTTTTTAACGTTTTTTGTAAAGTTTTTACTGCATTTATTGAACATCAGTAGGGTCTTTCCATCTCAAATCGACCAAGCAAAAGGGGTAGGCCGTTATTTTTCAACTAATTTTTTTTTACAGTTTCTTTACCGAAATCGATGACACCTGTATTTTTCTTTTGGCTTAAATTTGTTTTTTTTACCCGTAGGAAATTTTTGAAAAATGGACAGAAATATCGATTTTTTTCTTTTTACGAGTGACATTTTTTCTTGAAAATTTGATAACTTGGCCAAAATTGTAGGTAAATATTTACTACATACAAAAAATATATAAAAAATTAAGTGAATTTACACAATTTTTTTTAAATTGTTTTTTCTAAAAAGGGCAAAAAAATTGAGGTCAAAATTTTTAAATTGTCACATTTTTTTTCGTATGAAGTTGATAATATGAACAACTTTCACCAAAAGTCCTGAGTTGGCTAAATTCGTCGTTTCGGAATTTTTTAACGAAAATGCCATTTTCTAGTAAATTCGTGGTTCATCGTAAAAATTTGGTATTTTATCTAGGGTCTGGGTTGACCTTTATAAAGTGTAGTTTAGAACTTTTTGACATATTTAACATATTTTTGTCACTTTTGATTTCACCGGAAGTGCTCTTAAGTGATTAAATTAAACTTTTAAGGATTTTAGAGTAAAATTCTTAATATTTTTGCATTTGTTACCTTTAAAAGATGTAGAAAGATAATTTTGGTTAAAATAATAAAAATGAAGTATTATATACCTAAATGATGAATCGAATGCTCAAAAAAACTTATAATAACGCGATTTCGAAGAAATGTTGAACACAAACATTTCCGAAAAATTTTGGTCTATTAACAGATATGAGTGGGGCAGTCGCTAAACTCTTTTTGACTAAGGCTCTATCAGGAAGGGAAATAAGTATTAAGCCTAAGAGGTCCAGAAACTAATGCGCATGTTAATTATGTTTAGAAATAACAAATTTTTATTTGATTTCATATTTCCATTTTTATTTATTGCAAGATATTCCCTACAATGGCCACACTATGCGGCGGTTAGATATAACTTTTTGTAATCGTAAATATGTGAATGATTTTATTTGGTAGATTTAAAATCAAAAAAAGTTGAGCAATTACTCACACCCCTTTAATTCTAACCTTAGTTATTATTTTTATTTTATTTTAGCGTTTCTTTTCATAGTAAAATAAAATGTTAATATTCACTTACCAGGAAAAGACACTAACGAACTGTCAAATCTGATACTTCTTTTAAACACAAAGGTTTCAAAGCCTTCATAAATTTTTATTAAATTCGGTATACACTTTAAAACGTAAGAAAGCGATATTATTGAAAAATTAATTAATATTTGGTATCAAATTTTATAACCAACGAACCACCCTCTTTTATAAAAAAAATAGTTTTGGCATAAAGTATGGTTTTTCAATTTTTGAAAGCTCCTAAAAACCAGCATTGCAAAAAAAGAATAAAATTGTATTTTTTCCAGACTACTTGGCCCAACATGCAACAGAAAAGCCAATTCAATGTAGTCTAGATATAAAAATAAAATTTATTCAAAAAATGATTTGACCTGTCAAAAATTGACAAACGACATATGTATGTATTCAGAATTTTATTTTGAATCGAAATATGTAAAAATGCATATGGTGGTACGTCTGCTGACTAGGCAATCAAGCTTACCTCGCAATACATTGTTAAAAATAAATTAATTAAAAAGTTCAACTGTTTTAATTTAACAAATTAAGAACTCAAAACTCGGGTAACTTTGTGTCACAGTGTATTTTACGTATAAAATTAACTCAATATTTTATTTTTATTAGACACGTGTTAGCAGCGACATATATCTATTGCAAGGGATTACCTATAAAAAAAATAAAAAATCGACCTGTAGTTAACCAAGGATCATTATTCCAAAGGATTGCCCATAATATAGAAATTGTAACGCGTGTATTTCTAAGAGTTTTGCACTGATGCGATGTATACAATTTTAAAGTTTAATAAATCCCATTTCTTTCTTTAAAACACTGATTTTCCTGTAGTATAAACTCAATAGAATCGCTCAATTGACAGGTTTAGACCAACAAATTAAAAATGTTAATTTTATCGAGCGCGAAAAGATTTTTCATAAAAGGGTTAAAGTCACCCGCGGGGTGCAAAGTCACCCGTGTTTACGGTATCAAAATTGTTTACAAGAACCGAAATAAACTGTTCAAGTTTGTTTGTGGGATTCATATATAAACTATTAATAAACGACCAGTCTTCAGTATTTAAAGCATTATAAAAAGTCCTGTTTTCTGAAGAAGCTACTGTGATAGCAAAACAATTCTTAGTCAGTGAGTGCAGTTCTAATTGATGTGCATGTAAAGTTAATATTAAGTTGTAAGCTAATTTTATTTAATTACTTTTATGATATAGTTTGGTAAATCTTTATTAATTTGTATTTTGAATTGTTTAGTTAGTAATACATACATTGTATCATCTTCATTTAGTAGTTTAGTTTAGTTTAGTTAGTATACACAAATTGGTATCATTAAGTTTGTCCTGTAATTGGATATAATATCTGTTGGGCAATAAACATTATTATTATTATTATTATTGTAAAATTCCAAAAGTTTCGTCCTTAGTCCTCGACAGTTTTGATAATATACATTTAGAAAATTACTATTTGTACTACTCTTAATTAGTTTTTTTTAGTTACAATCTTGGGTATACCATTAATATATTTAATTACTTTATCAGTAACTCCATTCGCCTTAAGAGAGTTTAGCTCAATTACAAGGTCTTTAAAAAAAGATCTTTGCATAATTGTTTGATCTGCTCCCAATTTTACGTCACCCATGACTTTAATTTTGTTACGCAAGATACTTAAAACAGTACTAGATGAATCCATAATAATTTTAATAGGCCTAACTTTTCCAGCCTCAAACTTTCCCAAACGAAAAAATTTATTATTTCCAAAATTAACATCCGGTTTGCACAAGCGAAGAGTTGTCAAAACCTTATCATAATCATCTTGTTTACGATCGACTGATGTGTCATTAGTAGATTCGAGTTGATTAGTAGATTCATCAGCTGAGAAAGGTTTTCTGTTTTTTTACTTCCACTGCCGTCCTCGCTGTTTTTATGCAGAGTTTAAAACGCATTAAATTCTTCATTTAATTTAGAGTATTTTTCTTGCAAATCAATAACAGTTGTAGTCAAATTGGTTATATAATCAAGTAAGACTTACAGTTTGCACAATAGTATGAGACCTTACGATTTTTTGCTTTCATACATGCGGCCTCCTGACGACTTAATCCTGACGACTTAATCCAGCACAGACAGAATGCATGCATTTGTTGCATTGATCACAAAAAATCCGATCATCTGGTAAAACTTCATTTACACAAGTACTACATTCTATGGGTAATACACTCATCATAAGTTATTATTTATAAACACTGTTTATTATTTAAAAACTATGGTTAAAACGGAGCGATTAAAAACACGTCGACTCGTACTATACTTAATTATCAAAAGTGAAGTTCTTCCTAAAGAAGCATATATTGATTATTAATTAATTAATATGGAAGTCCTAACCTAAGAATATCAAATAAGCAATAAAAAGATATCTTACTTTTCCAGATCCATAATGAATAATTAAGCAAAAGGTTTAATTTGGCAATGTTTGCTGTGAACACTTCAATAATAACTTAATACACTTCAATAATTAGTCAAAAAATAGCCCAAGAATAAAAATCAAGCTAGGCGTAGCAAAAATCTAACGTATTCTGTCAAAACATATTTTGGCGCAAAACGACAACGAATTTATCCGATGCCAAACGAAGCGCCCTTCGGTTCAGAATGATTTTGATTAGCTCCGCTCGTTGGGAAATTAACGTAACCCGTTGTCTTTCATGTATGGTCCTAGACAAAACAATATCGAAGCAAGTTCATCCATAAATTTTATTAAGTTGAATAGTCGCAAACAAATTGTGTTTTGGTCGCAAAATTGCCGTGCTAATGAACAGGTAAGTAACTTTTTTTAAATACTTTTATATTTAAAATGTATTCTATAAAACTACCACTTTGGTAGCTTTATCATTTTAATTACATCTTTCTTTCGTAACCTTATTCTTTCATCTTGGGTTTTTTAGGCTTGTTCATAACTCTTTTTTATTTTATTTCTTACGCTCTCATTTATCGATCTAAATATATATATATATATATATATATATATATATATATATATATATATATATATATATATATATATATATTAGGGTGTCCCTTATATGGGTGAAATTTTTTCAGATATTGAAATGCATACCTCTTAATTCTTTTTAAACTACCTAGACTTACTCAAATACAAAATTTTATCTTCCTATGTCAACGTTAACCCGTGCCGACAGAGCCCTGAAGAAATCGCTGTCTTTAACGCTTATCCTTGTGTAGCTAAATGAAATGAAATGTTTTGAAATGTATGAAATGTATAAAAATAAAATTAAAAGAGAAAGTTAGAAAATAGGTTTTATTTATTAATTAAAAGAACATCACAAATCAGCAAGGATATTTTATTTTAGGGTCTCTTTTTTACAGTCTGGATACAGATTTCTATGCTCTTGTACACAGCGCAGCAAAAATTGTTTTTGTTCTTCTTTTGCAGTAATTAAACCATGAAAATCTTGCATAAGTTTTACAGCTCTTTCAGCTGTATCATTCACGGCCCTTAAAGAAAGAAGCCTTCTTTTTGCCTGCAAATAGGCAACGTCTTCTTCCCATGTAGAAACTGGTTTCTTTAAGAAGTTTTTATCAATGTTTAAACAAGAAAATAAATTTGTGCTCTTGACAGACCCAAAATCATTTAATGATTTTCCTATAACAAGAGTCAAGATATTATTATTATTATTAATATTATTATCAGTTTATCCAGAAGGGTATAAGAGATAAAACTATGTATTTCCACTTACCATACAAATAATCAGACATATCTTCTTTCGATGGAATGTATCTCTTCACAGAATCATACAAACTCTTCTCTTTGTAAGTTCGCTACAATATTTGCCTTGGTTTGTTCATCTACTTCATCATCAAAGAGTGATAAAACAGTAATTTCTTCTGACAAGTACCAAAGATGTTTACTAAACTTGCTCAGGACTGCTTCGGAGATCTCTTCGTTAACAGTTTTATATTCTTTAAGCCTCTTTAAAAAGCGCAAATCTTGATTTGGGGCCTTGACCGCCAGACTACATCCAAGCCATGGTTTTACATATATAACCACAATGAATAAACAAATATCGTTTATCCTTGGCGTTAATTTTGAACTGAGATTGCAACAAACAAATTTTCAATGAGTAAATTGCTCTAGCCATCCAACTTGCTTGATGCATTGCTCCAGGAGTTCTTATTTTAATTTTTTTCTCATTTCCTCCCAAGAAAATAATAGATAGGTAGTTCAATCAGTTCCCGATAATCGTCACGTACAATGGATTTTTGCAGTTCTTGATTATAAAATGTCAACAATTCTTCAACCATTGTTTTAGAAAAATTTTGGGTGACGATGTCGGTGTATGTTTGAATAGCAGCAGGATTAATAGTTTCCAGTTGTCTCTAAACTTTTTGGACATCGGGATATCAGGGCTACTTGTGATTTGGTGGATTTTTGTTTCAAATACACATTTTAAAACCAGTTCGTAAACGTGATGGCGGCAAGCAAAGAGTAATAATTCCCTGTCTAGTTTTTGTTCCAAAAGTACACAAGCTCCTTTCAATCGCCCTGTATTAGATGCAGTTGTGTCACAGCACATTATTTGTACTTTGTCCTCGAGGTTCCAGTCATAAAGTGCGGTTAAAACAGCTTTAGCTTGATCTTGGCCGGAAGAGCTCTCCAGTTTGGGCACAGCTAAAAGTTGTTCCTTTTCTCCAAACGAAATAAGAATTGGCAGGCGTTCTTCTAACTTAGGAGTGATGAAGTCTTTCCTTCCTCTTTTTGAAGTTGTTAGTCGATGGCAAGGGTTCTTCAAGGCTTTCATCAGAGTTGGTAGGTTGATCGGGATTTTCTTGCGTTTCGATAAAATCTTCTGTAGTTAGAGATGACGACAAACTCTCGGAACACATTTGCTCATGTCTTTTTTTCTCTTCTTTTAATTTTCTCTGTCTTGTTCTTTCTTCTTTCTCGGCTAACTTCTTATCTACGCCCGCTAAACATCCTGGATGCCCTGGTTCTCTTTGTTTTTGTAAAAAGATTTTATCTTCTTCTATTTTTATGCATTCCAAAGCATTTGCGTGTGCTATATCGAATAAATTATCTAAATTGTTTTGAAAGTCCTCCTCACGACGCCTGTAAACATCATGCGTTTTTTTTTGGATTTTTTTTGTAACTCTCTCCAAGCTTTGTGAAGATCCACAAGTTTTTTTACACAGTTAGGCACAGCTCTGGTAGGGATTCTAGCTTTTTCCCAGAATATAATACACTCTCGAACGACAAGATTTGCGCTTTCATTAACAGTCAATTTAACTTCGCGAATGTTAAAAAAGAGGACTGCAAGAACTTGACGATTAGACGGTAACTTTGCTCCAGTGATTTGATAGTTTACGTCACCAACTAAGAAAATACTTTTTTTATTGCTTCTTAATGCCACTGCCATTTTTTTAACTTTAAAACAATATGTTAATCACGAGACTTACTGAGAACAAATGACAAATAGGGCGAGTACGCGCCGCTAGTTCCGCGTAACTTGTATGGACATGTTTCGATGCAAGTCGGCACGGGTTATCGGTCTCCAAATGACGTAAAAATTTATTTCCGAGTGTTTTAGGAACAAATGAACAAAATTAAGACGTATGCGTTAAAAAATTATAACTTTAAAAATAAGGGACACCCTAATATATATATATATATATATATATATATATATATATACCGGGATCTGCTTCGTTTTATCGGTTTTTGGTTCTAAAAAGATCCAACGACGTTTCGGTACAATCTCATGTACCATCTTCAGGTTTTATCTGCTGGGTTGCTGTTGCTGCTCTGCTCTGAATTTGATCTCAACTTCTTTCAGATTGAGAAGAATAAATGAAGCAACAGCAGCATAAACAGGATTAAAAAAAAGACTAACGTAACCAAATGTAAATTAGGCTTACGATTGGAACGCTCTATCAAATAAATAAGAATGCAAACGTCAATAATGGTCTTTTTTCTCATTATTATGTCGATAAGCGAAATTTTTACTGCTGAAAATTACATGATTGCTTGTTTAACTTTACTTAAGGGTATTTCCATTGTTGATAATAAAGTGTTTGTTCGTATATCAAGGTACGTTAATATACAAAAATAGTATAAAAATTTATATATTTAACTCAAACAAAATGTCAATTAAAACCTCTATAAAAACTCTGAAATTGATAAACTTAATGGGTTTTACTCTAAATAATTAAAAGAGTCTATTGTGAGAGATGACTACCGAAAACTTATTGAACTGTCTGAAATATTTTTGGGAGGACATCAAGAAAAGAAATGCTTATAAAAATCTGAAATTTCATATAACAGTATATTTTAGCAATACTAATTAGTATATTAATATATTTAAGGGATAAAATCAACTACCATTTTTTTGGTTATTTTTTAATGGTCATTCAGATATAATAAAAAAAAAGAATTACCCGACACTTCCGGGTAACTAGCCACTTCCTGTAAAAATATTCATTTTTATTAAAGTATACACATAAATAAAACTATATTTTAACATTTTTTAATAATTTATAATATAAGGGTCACATAATAACAAACACAAAATGACTTACGATCGAAGACCTAGCGGCCAACCGTGTTACAAAATACCGCGCGCCTAACGTTGGCTAATGGAGGGTTCAGATGCAAGTCGGCACGGGTTCCCGTTTATAGAATGAGCTGAAATTTTTACTGGGAGTATATAAACAACTAATAAATATAATTAGAGGGTATGCGTAAAAAAATTAAAAATAAGGGACACCCTAATATACAGGGATGGGCAAAACACGTCAAATTTAGTTTTTTCCAAGGATTTTTTTTTTAAATTTCATATTTTTACCTTTTTCCCTTTTTACAGAATAACGTTACTGTCAATTTATTTAAATGGCAAACCCCAATTTTTTTACAGAAATGGATAGACTATAAAATTCTAGTTTCAAAAATATGCATATTAAGTCTGATTGGATTTACAGTTTCTAAAATAATAACTTTTTAAGTTGGAAAAATAGGACAAGTAATTTTATTTTAATTTTACAAAAAAAATCGCAGTTGTCTTTGACAAAAACAAAACAGGCTGGTAACCAAGTTGAAAAACATGACAACTGTCAATTTTTCGCTATTTTGAAAAAAGCATTGCTTTATTAATTAAATATTAATTAAATTAATTGAAAGTCAAAGGAAAAATGTTGCAATTAAAAGAACGCAGCAAGAAGTACGCTTATTTAATGAAGCCTATCCGAACCATGCTCCGATCTCGCAATCTTGTATTTCCAAAGTACAGACAAAACGGAAGTGTGAAAAACGCAAAAAAATCAGGCCGACCCAAAACAGCCACCAACGGTAATTTGGCATTGAATGTTTTGTTATAAATAGAAAATGCTCCAAGAACATCCAGCAGCGACCTTGCACGAAACCTTAATATTTCAAGAAGGCAGTTATGCAGCCCATGTGGCAGGAAAATTAAAACTTTTTAATTAAAATTTTGTTTTCTGATGAGGCCACCTTTATGCTAAACGGAGCTGTCAATGGACATAACTGTCGATACTGATCCCAGCAAAACCCTCACTGGATGATCGAATTTCGCACCCAACGACCTCAAAAAGTCAATGTCTGGACAGGCATAATTGGAAATGAAATTATCGGACCTTTCTTCATAAAAGGCAATTTAACGATGGGGAGATATTTGGCTCTATTAACTGATAACGTTGTCCCTGCAATAGAAGCCCTGTATCCAAATGACAACACGTTATGGTTTCAACAGGATGGGGTACCCCCTCATTTTGGAGAGATAGAGTGGCCACCAAGGTCGCCTGACTTAACCCCCTGTGATTTTTTTCTTTGGGGTCATATTAAAGACTACTCTCTAAAAATGAAATAGTCAAAATTCTACTATTTGAATTAGTACCAGCATTTTTTACCAATAAAATAGTCGTTTTCACTTTTAAATAGTTATTTTTTACTATGTAAATAGTTAAAGTTTGACTAATTTAAGATTAGTCACCATATTTGACTATTTCTTACAGTTAAAAGTAACTAATTTCTTTAGTCGTTTACGGCCAACAACAAAGTATTATTTGAATTAAATGCATATACCTCTCCATGGTTAAATGACCCATAAAACAAATAAAGATGCAAAAAGTTTAGCTCAAAATAGCAACACAAATAATATATTAAACTTTAAAATATGAACAATATTTATTGACAAATAAAATTAATTTTTATAAGAGCGGCTGACAGCCGAATGCGTTAAGAGGTTAAATTTACTAATTTGACTATTTCATTCAGTGGAATTTGACTAATTATTAGTGACTGCTTTTTCACTATGACAATTAGTCAAATATGACTTATAATTAGTTATTTTTGACTAATTCATTTTAAGAGAGTAAGTGTACCAGGAACGACCAAATAACTTAGACGATCTGAGAGCCAGAATCACGCCAGCAATGAGAGAAGTAGGAAATGAAGTATTTGGAAGGCGGTCTTTTATAGAGAGATTGCAATTATGTAGTCAAAATAATGGTAGACATTTTGAGCATTTAAGGGGCTAAACATTTACCGTTTAAATTATTTTCCTAATAAATGTTGTTTCTATAAATAAAAATATTGGTTATGTAGCAAAATAAAGTTTGGTTTTAAAAATACACATTGACTCAGATAGACTAAAAAAAATTTCAGCACTATAGTGTCTATAGGCACTCTCCGGTAATTTAAAATACTACACATTTGTATCAACTTGTTACACACACACCGATTCTTGTCGATGAAAAATATTATTATTTTAAAAAGTATTTTTAAGTCAAAACATACTGAATATGCATATTTTTAAAATCAGAAATTGATTGTCTCTCCATTTCTGAAAAAATAATTGGGGGTTGTCATTTAAAAACATTGACGGTCAAGTCTTTCGGTAAAAGGGGGAGGGGTAAAAAAATAAAAAAAATGTTAAAATAGTCCTTGGAAAAAACTAAATTTGACATGTCTTAGCGTTTTTGCAGGACCTGACCAGAAAAAAATTATTTCCATTATTCCCAACCCTGTATTTGTATATGTATATATAAACCTGGGTGCAAAAAAATCGACTCACTAACAAGCTTGAATTTGAAAAGAATGTGTATAACCTACAACAGCATTCTGATTGTTATATGTATTATTTAAAAGCAAAAAAATTGCTTTTAAATAATACCATATTGACTAAAATTGGGCCAGTTTTAACAAGTCTATAGGCCTACAAATATTTATAACACAAAAGAGTTAATATGTAAAAATGGAAAATTTAAGAAAAGCAAATAAAGCAATAAACCAAATTATATTTTTATTTTTTTAATATTTAGTGTTGCCACCTCTTTTTCTAATAACACATAAACACCTATTACGCATTGACCTAATTACATTTTTAATGGTACAATAATAATAATAATAATAATAATAATAATATTTATTAATCCATACAACAAATTACAAAACACAATTTGCTTATAAGACTTAGCAATCAAAAGCAAAAATTAATTAAAAGAAAAACAATCTTACATTTACATTAAATAATTAAAATATATTAGAATAAAATACAATATTTTTAAAAACTATCATTAAAAAATTCACTAACTGAATAGTACATTTTTTCTAACAAAAAAATTCTTAATTTTTTCTTTAATATTAATATTTTTACAAGAAATAATAATTCTTGAGGCTTTGTTATGAAACTTTATTCCCTGATATGCAAATGCCTGCGCAACTGATAATCTAGAATAGGGCAAAATATGTTTTTGTTACCTCTTGTCTCATAACTATGCACATCCGCTGTAAGAGTAAATAAACTTTTATTTTATTCAATATAAATAATAAAATTATAAATGTATAGACATGGTAGAGTTAAAAATGAATACTTTTTAAATAATGGTTTACATGGAAATGTTGGATTTTTATTGTCCAGACATCTAATAAGTTTTTTTTGCATTACGAACACTTTCTCAAAGTAATAATAATAATAATAATAATAATAATAATTTCTTTATTGCCCAACAGATAAATCCAATTACAGGACAATGTTTACAAAATAAAGTATAAACATAAGATATAAAAATATATATATATATACAAATAAATCTGAA